CCTGGCATTGACCCAAACATCATCTGCCACCGGCTCCATGTACCCTGCTAACAAGCTCGTGGTGCAGAAGAGACGCAACTTTGCTCCCGAGCGGGTCGCGATCATTGAAGCCGAGATCGATTAGCTCATAGCTGCCGGTTTCATTGAAGAGGTCTCCTACTCGGAATGGCTGGCCAACGTTGTTCTGATAGCGAAACAAGAAAAGGGAAAATGGAGAGTATGCGTTGATTACACCGACCTCAACAAAGCATGCCCTAAAGACAACTTCCCATTGCCGAGAATCGACCAGCTCGTGGATTCAACTGCCGACAACCAGCTGCTCAGCTTCATGGATGCTTACTCTGGCTATAATCAAATTATGATGTACGATGATGACAAGGCGAACTTACAGGATTAAGAAAGCTGTATTAGATAAGAATAATATTCTTCATTGGCTAGTTCTTCTGCTGTATGCAGAGGTTATGTTCAGTGACTTCATTGAGGATTTCTGGGAGACTGAAATGTTGTCAGCTAATCTGGACATGATATCCTTCTTTTAAAGTGTTCTGTTATATTTTAAAGTTGAATTGCCTATGAGTTTTCTATGTAGCATCCAATGCTTTTGGATATATGTGCATTTTGTGTTTTCCGGAGCTTTCAAACATGTTTTCAGAAAACTGCCCACCTTTTTCATGGGATCAGGAACACGATTACACTCGTGAAGCTGTTGAATTATACTATGAAGTAGGTCATTTTATTTGGTTCTGGGGTCATTGATTTTGCAAGCTCTGGTGTTGTTCACTTGGTTGGAGGCATAGCAGGCTTGTGGGGTGCTCTGATTGAAGGCCCATGCATAGGCCGGTTCGATCATGAAGGTAGGTCTGTGGCTATGCGTGGACATAGCGGCACATTGGTTGTTTTGGGGACATTTCTGCTTTGGTTTGGTTGGTATGGCTTCAATGCAGGCTCATTCCTCAACATTCTCAAGGCCTATGGGGAGAGTGGATCCTATTACGGACAATGGAGTGCAATAGGAAGAACTGCAGTGACAACCACAATGGCTAGATATGCTCAGCAGCACTGACTACTCTTTTTGGGAAGCGCTTGCTCTCCGGTCATTGGAACCTCACCGACGTTTGCAATGGCTTGCTTGGTGGGGTTGCAGCAATCACCTCTGGTTGCTCAGTTTTCGAGCCTTGGGCTGCAATCATTAATTGTGGGTTTGTGGCAGCTTGGGTTTTGATGGGATGCAACAAGCTTGCTGAGAAGTTGAAGTATGATGATCCATTGGAAGCAGCACTGCTTCATGGAGGGTGGCTCATGGGGAATTATATTCACTGCATTGATGGGAGGAGGTGGAAAGCTCTTGGCTGCACATTTGGTTCAGATTGTAGGGTTTGTGAGCTTGACAATGGGAACATTGTTTTTCTTGTTGCACAAGTTGAAGCTCTTGAGGATTTCATCAGAGGAGGAG